AGGATTCGTATTTGTTCCCAATATCGCTAGTCATTTCTGTCGGTACGGGAGGGCAACGACAGCAGCTGATGCCGCCCATTGTCAAGGGTGCGGACCACAGTCATATGGCACTACTTATGAAGTTGTTGTCTACGATGCCAACCACAATTTAGTTCCTCTGCTATTTGCGCACACGGTTGCGACTGAGTCTGAAGAATCTTGGACTATGGTATTCAGGAATCTGAAAAACGTGTCAGGCTTTGATGTGGCAGGTCGAGTTACAATTGTCGATCAGGAAAAGTCTATTGATTGCTCTTTCGAAAAGACTATGGAAAATGCGAAACTATTCCTTGACCGTTTGCATGTTAAGAAAAACATGGCTAAAGCATTGGGGAAGGAAAAAACGACAGGTCTCGCTCAATACGAGAAAGCCGTGCGCGCTCCCTCACGTAGTGCCGTGGACGCGGTGAAACGGACGTATGGATCGAAAACCTCCGAATATCTATCTCGATTTCCAGACACGGCTCTATATCGAGCATACGCTGGGCTGCAAGACTTGATTATAACTTCGCAGGGGGCCGAAAGCCAAATGAGTGCATCACTGCGAAATCAAATTCGAAGTGTAGAACCACACTCGATGTTACGAACTGTTCTTGAATTGCAGCGAAAGGAATTTTTAAAACGACAGAACGTGGCTCTCAATTGTGAGAAACCTGTTCCGCCACACATTGAGAGACATTTGGCAATGTTGATCCGTCGAAGTAGGCCCTATCAAAAGCATGTCAAGTTTTTAGATGGCACAAACCATATGGAAGCAACAGTAGTCAGTGCAGTTGACGGAAACAAAACTAGGCGGGTGGTTCTCAAAAAAGAGGAACAGGAGCCACCGTCGTGCTGTGCTTTTTCTTTAAACGCTTCCATGTTTCCGTGCTGGCACGGAACAGCCGTGATATGTGAAAAGTATTGCTCAATGAATTTGTTCAAGTTTATTGGGGCGAGAAACTTGACAGTCGCGTGGAAGGAACAGTACGATGGAGTAATCTTTCCAATGCCAATTCAAGCAGATGTCGACAGGGTGATACTCGATGCTCAAGAGCAGGTCTTGTCAGGATCTTCAATTAATATACCAGTGGCTATTGCTCCACCCCGCGGGAGACCGGTCCGAAATGCTGGGAAACGGTTGCGTTCATGGTATGAAGCAGGGCCGGGAGCTCGAAAACGTTCTTACTCGTGCTCCCTGTGCCATCTCAAGGGACATACGGCTCGCAACTGTGAACTGCGTCAGCTCTTTAAGGATGACTGAGGTAATACATTCGCCTACTAGATATGCTTAAATTTGTTTTCGCCCATCAAACTTGTCACAGCGGATCAGTTCCCCTACTGATGGAGCCCCATGTACTCGTTTCCCCTACCACTTCGGTTACGGAGGGTTTTTGGCGTATGAAGAGGTTGTTTCCCCTACTGATGTGTTACTTTTCCGGATTTCCCCCACTGAGTTGTTATTTTTCCGGAATTCGCGTACTGATAAAGTCAAATGGCACTAATTCCCCACCTAGTTGTGATATTTCCCTTGCAGAAAAGGTTGTGACAAGAATGGCACATTTCTGCAATTATCGTCACGACCGATTAGAGAATTCTGCAATAGATTTCATACGTGTAATACGTATTGCAGAATTCTGGCCGCCGAATTGCAGAATTCTGTTTGCGTAATCTCTCTACAATAACCCTAGATTTATGGCTGACAAAATATTGTCAGAGCTGCAGAGGGAGGGTGTAAGGAGTTTGTACAGCTGCCCACGTGTCCAAAATGTTTTTTTAATTTCTTCAACAAAAAACGGGCAAACACGGGCAAACACGGGCAAACAAGCGCCTGTTAAGACACATCCAGAGGGTGTGTCAAGGAAAGTGACGTTGTGTTCCTTACTGTCCCCGTAAAACGGGTACACGTGTAAACTCAATGGGCTGCTCGGAAGCGCCACATTTCGGTTCACGATATCGAGACTTTACTCTGTATACCTATTTATAGGATCTCCCAGGCGATGATTTGGACCCGCACGTTATGGACCAAAACGTGCAGGTCGAAATCATCGCCTGGGATTATGGTCCATAACGTGCAGGTCGAAATCATCGGACACCATAAGTTATGGTGTCCGAACATTAGCGCGAAAGCTAACCACGTTTTTTCGGCTGTGGCTGTTGCAAGCATTTGGCATCACCACAACAGCAGAACCCTGCATTGCTTCGTAGATGTCAAGATCAAGTAGTCCCGAAAGACGCTTGATACAGCGCAGACTTGGGCATCACGCCCGTTCATGGCCCTGAAGTTTAATTGTTAGAGGGTGCGTTGTCGTCCATGCCGCACAAACCGTGCAGCTCTAGAAACTGATGCGGTTCCCAATCATCAACATCGGCGACACTACTGGCTCATCTGCTTCTGACCACCGTTTTGTTGCCTTTAATCAGTGGAATCCGTTCCAAGTCAGTTTCAGGTTTGCGGAGAAAGAGATACAAACTTGTACCATGCGCGTGCACAAGATTTTACGCTCAGAGTTTCTACGTTCTATCACTATGTACAGAATCCAGCCACACTCATGAAGTTTTTTTTGATCAGGAAGAGGTACTCGCAAGATGCATTGCTATCCAAGAACACTACCTTGCTGGACGAAGTCGCAGCGACTTTGAAGAATACTGTAGCTCGTTAGCATCCGCTTTTGTGGAGAAACTGGCCTGCGGCTTGCATCTCAAGCCCCACATCACTGCTTGAGGTCCAAAGCATTGATTCGGCATCGTTGCCGACATGCGGAAGCCCGCGCCGCACAAAGACAAGCACGAATTTGCAAGTTCTGTACGATATTGAGTGGCACGTGATGTACGACGAATAAAGCCACGAGTGCTTCGTAGGATACAAGAGTAGAAAACATTCTTGTCTTGTTCCAACTCCCTGTGGGGTGCTGCAAAAGTTGTTTTAGGCAGAGTAGTGCGCCATAAAGTCCTGGGGGAGTTGCACAAACCGGCTCTCGATAGTCTTTTTTGAGGTCGAGGCTGAGGACTCATGTCACTTTGCATGAGGCGGGCAGGGGGGAGAGATGGGAGTCATCAAGTGAAAAAGGAACAGCTGCATTGACAACTGTTCAACGAGGAGCCCCCACGGTGAGAAACACGAAGGTTGTCAAAATTTCTCCAACAGTGCCCCTTTACCGAAGGACCAATCACATCGCACAGCGGGTACCTTTCGAACAAGGCGTCACAAAGGAGGAAGATGAATATAGCAAATCGCTACTGATATTTTTGGGGCAACAATATTCCTCAACTGCTGGCCTTTGTTGTCATCTAACATTTAATTGTAAACAAATGCCCGTTTCTGTCCCTCATAACGGAAGGTTTAAGAGTGGTCACATTGAAACACGCCTCATATACGATACGGCTTATTTACACTTTACCTCGTCGCACGTGAGAAAGCGGAAGAGGCTAAATTTTTGCATCCGTTCCTAAAACCTATCATGAAACTGGTACATCTGTATCGGTCATCTAAGTTTGTTTTGGGAGAGCATACCCTCTCATTCTTTGATGAATTTCCTCCTCTTCTTTCGCAGACAACAGCGTAACCCCATTGTGGATTGTGAATTATATTTCACTTTTCGACTGTAGTTCCGTGAGGCTAAACGCGAAAGAAAGTTTTTGTTGATCTATTGTTATCGTACAGGTTCCAACGAATCGTGAAATGAGGGAGCGGCAGTGCTGCATAGGGAAGACCCCTTCTGGCAGCAATTACATTCCCGCCCCTTGCTCTTGATCTGGCGTGCCAAAATATTAATTTGACAATTTACGCAGAATCATCCTAGTCCAATCAACCATTTCAAGATCATATTCGAGGTACTCACCAGCTCCGAACAGTATGAAAGCTCCCCTAAAAAATGGTACGCAGCGAAACTGATTCGGGAGGAGGAGTTAACGGGTCTATGCTTGTTCCCTGTTTGGAATGGACCAGAGGTCCATTCCAGTAACCCCGCCTGTGGCACGGTTCCTGTAATCGTACAATAAATGCCCATGACAGTATTGTGGATTTTCTACCCAGCAGTGCACGATACGTTTCAAGTGACATCCCTTTCTCATCTCTCAACTGTCTCAATGTGCTGTTGTAATGGCGACATAGACAGCGATCCCGCCGGATCTTCTAAACACAGTACCCAAGTGTACGGTATGGGCAATGCAACCGATTGGCCGTGTCAGTTTATCTGCCCGCTCACTGTAGCAGAAACAAAATGGGATGACATGCTAATTTGCTGTTGTTCATGCTGTTGTTCAATACGGCAGGTACTAAATGTGTAAAGAAGCACCCGGCTGTTGGAAAACGATTGCGGCTCGCATATGAACCCAATGACAACACATTCCCTGTGACGCTCGATGCGTCTGTCCTGCTCTGCTCTGCTCTGCCCTGCGCCAACACCATCGTATATTAATACCCCTGTCCGCAACGGCGGCAGCAAGCTATCTTCAGTGTTTCTACAGCCTCGTTTTGCAAAGAAAACAAGAGAAACGCCAACCATGGATAGTCTAGCTTTCCTCATGAATTGTGCGGCCACGTGCACGTCTTCATTCCCCCGCTTTCGTTTGGAGAAACAGTCCACCTAGCATTTCATAAACTACAGTTTCCATTTACAAAACCATTGACGGTTAGTACTGTAAAACCATTTCAACAGACGTGACTTTTATTAAGCATCGGTCTAAAGTTGGGCGTGCGTTGAGAAAGATCGCCGACGCATTGATGTCAGTACAGCAAAGCGAGTTCTTCTTCATTTGACCATTTATATGTCCACTCTACATCGAGAAACGTAAAGCTGTCATGTTTCTAAACTGATCCTGTTTCTCTCCCTCTCTCTATCTTCCCACCTCCCCCTCTCCCCCTCTCCCCCTCTCTCCTTCTCTCCTTCCCTCCCTTCCTTCCTCTCACCGCAACGTCGCTGATTACAGATCTGGACATTCATTGATTCCTTCTGCAATCTTCAGGTGACATCTCCCGTATGCATACCGCCAAGCCTCCTCTTTCTAGACCCACAACTATTTTCGTACATAGCATCTTCCGGGGCAACCTAGAAGAGCAAAACACACGAGGGCTCTTTCTAATCCCTGGCATTGATATCAACGCAATTGCAAAAGGCGACAATCTTGCTACTTTCTTTTCTGAAGGGGTTCTTGCCCACTTCGAATGACGAGTTCTCAGATTGCTATGCGTGAGACGGAAAACTAACTGTCTAGTCGAAGCTGATGATCACAGAGTGCTCCCGAAGACGTTCCATTCCCGTCTTTCCACCCATGTCTAACAAAGGCCGTTCCATATGCATACGACCATCAAAGAAAAGCCCTCCTAAGCACCGGCAAATACGGAAAACGACAAGAGTTCTTCGAGCGCGTATGCCTCGAAAAATATGGTTCGACATCCTTCCGGCCCACATACGGAGCAAAGTAGCATCCTACATCTCTGGCGGTCATCAAACTGATGCAGCTCTGAGTTTTGCCCGAACAAATCACATCCAACGCCAAGCTGTTCTCTCAACTCTTTCGCACAAGCTTTGCCTGTCTCTTTTTAATAGGAATGGAGCTCAATGGATGGAGGTTTTTGGAGATGAAATTCAAACACTAGTTGTCGAGGATGATTACAAGGGCCTTTTCAGGCTGGGCAGTCACCCAGATCCCTTTACCTTCATGGCAGCCCCTTCTTTACGTAGAGCGGAAATTCTCGATGAACCGGCTGTCCTTAGAGCAATTTCGATGTCAACGTCACTCCGTGATTTGAAGGTTACCATTTATGGCATCGCGCCTCAGGAATCTCTGGTCGGAACTTTGTCTCGTCTCGCTCTTTCATCTCTTGAGCTTGTGTGTGCCCACTTTGTCCAAAACACTTGTCCTTTCAACAACAACCGTAGCCAAAGAAATTCCCTGCCGGAGCTGCTGATGAATCATTCTCAAACTCTCTCTGCTTTGAGATTGAGCTGCCTCTACCACGCAACGTGCCAAACTTCCCTTTGGAAAACAATTCCACATCTTCCTCAACTTCGCGAAGTAGCGATTTCCGCAGATCCTCCACGGAACGCCCTCGTACACCTTCGATCAATCCAAGCTGTCAGAATTTGCTCTGCTCCCCACGGATTTCAACTTGCCATGATGTTGCGTTTGAAAGTGACTTGTTTAGAATCCTCAGAGAGGCTACATGCAAATCAGATTGCTTCATTAATTGTGTGCCCCCGCCTTGCCCTTCTTGGAGCAGATGTTGATGAAGGAGCAGAACATTCGCTACAGACATTGTTTAGGGGTGTAGAAGTTTTGCACTCCCTCAAGTTGAGATGGCCTCAGCCACACCAAGCAAGCTCTCAACTGTACCAGACCACTGCTCTTACCCTCGCTGAAGCGAATTCAGACGTGATTCTAGGAGCAATCCCGCACGCTCCCGTTCTTGACGAGCTATATTTTTTGAATGTTCGGCTACGAAAGGAACACATGAAGGGCGTTCTCTCTATCTTGGGAGGGCGGTTGAAACACTTGGGGATATCTATTTGGGGCCAAGTGGATCCTCCCTTGTTTTATCTAGAATGCATGATTCGTATTCTCGCAACACACAACTCCCAGCTGCGTACTTTCTATGTATCCGAGGTTGCGAGTTTTGAGAAGCATCTGATGCGCGAATCATATAGGAGGGCGACGAGTGTCCAGGAGAGAGAATCGCAGCTATACCAGCTTCGATGTGCACTTTGTGCATTGAAACGCTCAGCGCCTTTGGTGCAAACATGCAAACTTGAAATGTTTATCTGTTTCCTCCACGATACTCCGGCGCAGGCCCTTTCAGGCTATGAACACCCAGAACTCGATGTACCTGGAATCATTGAATATGCACATGATGATTTCTTACCCCTGTCTCAGAGCGATATCCAGTGAAGAAAACTCCTACCCTATTTAGATTTGACCTTCCAACTCCTCTACACGCACCCTTCTTCCAAGCACAGTAACTACTTGCACATACTTTCTTGACAAACGAATAATGTTTACCGGGAATTGTGTAGAATAGAATCTGACTCCAATAAATAACAACCCCATCGCGAACCCTACGGTCCCGTATGCGTGCCATGTAATGCCACATCGAGGCCTCTATGTCGCCACGTCGTTTTCTTCAAAACTGTCAGTTTCTCCCTCTATCCCCATCCAAGGTACATCCGAACGAAACGGTTGATGTAGAGCGGCGTATAAGCGAGACACTTTGCGCTCCCCTACACCTGGACAGGCACGAATCTCCTGCTGGGTGGCATTGCCAAGGTTGCGAAATTTCCCAAATGTAAAAGCCAAAGTGGACACATCGGTGCGACTGATGCCCCGCACAGACCCGAGAGCAGCATGCAATCGGGATGCATAATCTCCCGCGACGCGCTCTTGTATAATCTCTGCTCCCTTTGCATCGTAAGACCTAAACGTCTCCAAATATCGCGCAGCCTCCGCCCGAGAACCAGCAACAATGACGGTGAGGTCATGAACTAGACCGAGCTTCGTAAGTTCATGAAGTGGGGGTCTGTGTTCCGGGACATCTGCTAAAACGAGCAAAATGCGGAGGCGGAAAGCACGGCCTAGCGAGCGCAGTCTGGAGTAGATGTAACGCGGATTGAGCAGATGGTATTGCAATGAAAGGAAAAAAACGCAGGTTGTCGGGCCGCATAGGAAGTCGGCTGTGACGCCGTCTGACACTTCATACCGCACATGGCGAATATAACGCAGGACTGGGTTTCCGAGCTGGCGACGGTTGACTAGAAGAGCTAGTTTCGATCGTGCATGTGCGAGGGAAAAGCGGACTTGCTCGTGTGTAGGGTCTCTGAAGGACGGAGCGGGAATTGCCGAAACGGAATGCTCACGAGGCTGCTTCTGCGAAGACTTGTTCGCGTCCCCATCACCAGTCAACACTGGACTTCCCTGGGCGACGGCCGAAACGGAATGCTCACGAGGCCGCTTCTGCGAAGACTTATTCGCGTCCCCATCACCAGTCAACACTGGACTTCCCTGGGCGACGCTGTCTTCGGGAGGAGGCGCCTGCTGGTGCTTCGGCATGGATCTCGCACCCTGGTCATTCAGTGAGAGGCTTTGACAGTCGACGAAGGGAGCGAGACGGATGTTGCTGGAAAGCAGAACAACCTCGAGGATTGCGGAGCGTGTACTGTACTTGTCCGGTACCCTTGGGTACAGTGGTACAGTGGATCCTCGCTAACTGCATGCTCAGTTTCTGCATACTGTATTCTCGATTACTGCATGCGTTCGTCAGCTACCGGCTGCGGAGCAGCGATTCCAGCCTGTATATGATATTGAACTGCATACCGCATAACTGCATGAAGAAAGTGATCCATAATCATATCGAACCCTCATACAAAGGCATACTATGAAACAGGTAAAAACTTATGATAACAGATATGCAGTGCTTCGGACCGCCATCGGTGCTTCATCACCACCGTCGGACCCGGGTATCTGATTTTTGAATAAATTACGCTACCTTCGGTGCATCAAAAGAGATCTCTCAGCTGCCAAAGTGCAAACGCAGAAGCAGACGAGAATTGATTCCTTCTTTTCAGGGGCCAGTAACCTTGCTGGACAAGCATCATAACTGCCGCCATAGGAATATTCTCTTTACATGAATAATAATGTCCTTTCCCGTCCTCATTCTTATAAAGAGAGATTACTGTATATGTAAATTACAGTAGTGCTTCGTGTTTCCGTGCGACTGTACTGTATCAGGTTTTATTCGCCAATCACAATTTCCGAATTATTGCACAGTTTACGTTACTGTATTGCCCCATTATTATTGAACAGCATCAAGCCACTGGCACTCGAATCTGTCGTGTCGTGGCAACTTTGTGCCACTTCCGTTGTCACTACGACTCCTATCCTGTAAACCTGCTTGTCGCGTCTACACCGTACTCTAGTACATCAAGATGTGCATTGCCCTCATGAAACATCCCACTGAGTTTCAAGAGTGAAAGTGTCTCAATGCAGAATCTCAAGACAGTTGACCTGGTACAACTCTCAACGGCACGACCGCCGATTCGGATTCATGACGTCATTGTACTCACATCTGTATAGACACGCAATTGTCACTGCAACAACGACTTAAACCTATCGGTTTGCGATTCTTTCCTTGTCACTGTCGTTGTTCCCAATTGTCCGGTATCCCTTGACCTCTCTGATCGACGACTTGAGTACCAAACACAGAAATTCAGGAATTGCCGAGATCCCTTAAAAGAGTATCCAGAACACACACACAATTCCTGCGCCTTCTAAACAATGACCCCAGTTGCAGGTGGAGTACTCCATATCTAGAAGGTTTCATTCTACTCTCTATGAATCCGGCTAGCGCTCCTAAACGTGAAGATGATGATTGGATCAGATACATCGCTACTCTCGATGCCAAACTTCAAGTTTATAGCCCTAAATACACTTTCCTTCTGAGCTACTTTTTCACAAACTGCGTCCTTTTCTTTTTTCCGGCAGTTGATGAATATCTCAATTGGCCAGAACATGACTTCCTTTCTATTGTCATTTGCGTGGGGAGAGGGTTTGGCCGAGTTCTCAATCTCAATGTCGCTCTACTGTTTATACTCGCTTCAAGAAAGACTCTTGGCTTCCTCCGTAACACTGTTGTAGGTACGATTTTACCAATTGATGAAGCCATGCCTGAGCTTCATTCTTTTATAGCTTATGCATGCTTTGCTGCTGCCACTATTCACGGCGTTTGCCATTGCATTGCGTCCACCGGGATGAACTTATGGGCTCCAGGGTTTGGCAAGAACACTTGGTGCATTGTCTCAGGTTATGTCATTTTTTCTTTATATGGGCTCATTGTTGCCACTTCCATGGCTTATATGCGTAGAAGAAGGTTTGAAGTTTTTCTTCACGTGCACATGTTCGGCTCCCTCTTGTTCATCCCTATAATATGCTTGCATGGTTTTTATAATGCTAAGCCGTATTCCTATAAGTGGGTTTTGGGGCCAGCGATGCTTTATCTCTTTGACAAACTGGCCAGAAAAATGAGCGAGAATCAAGCGTCGGTTCGCATACATGTTGATTCGAACCAAAGAAAAGTTACATGCAGCGGTGGTATCGGTACGCGCCATGCCGGAGGGAGAAATTCTTTCAGTTTCTTGCATTGCCAAAAACATTTTTACTGACCAAAGCATCGTGGACCTACTCTCTTGTTCCCTGCCTGAAATTTCCTATCGATAGTTCGAATCTCTTTTCCAAGGCCATTCTACTACCGTGCTGGGCAATACGCTGAGCTCTGCATACCAATCATTAGCAAGACACAATGGCACCGTAAGTTTAGAAATGTTTCCCCACTGAATATACACATGCGATCTTGAATGCTAACCGAAAGCCTTCTCGCTCGATTATCCTAATTTTGCCAACCTTTTCTCAGCCTTCACTATGGCATCAGCCCCTTCCGAAGATGAATTTGTATTTTTTGTCAAGCATGCGGGTGACTGGACGACTTCTCTTCATCGGATATGCAAAGAAGGCCTCAACCCGAAAACAACAAATACGCTATCTTCGTTTGATATCAAAGTTCGGGGCCCATACGGAGCGTCCGCTCAACATGTTGGTCAGTACGACAAAATATTGCTCATTTCTGATGGCGTCGGAGCAACACCATTTTGCAGGTATGTACCTGGCAACAACAACTCCATGTTTGCCCGATTTTGTTCGAGAATTTTTCTAACATCGTTCGTCCCATTTTAACAGCATCACAAAATCAGCAACGGATATAATATCACGACAGTGTCATCAAGAACAGCAAGCACTTACTGACTCAAGTTCGTCTCTCAATACGGACTGCAACGCACATGAAAATGAAGGAGATATCACTGATGAACCCTCATCTGAAAGCTGGAATCATCCCCACATTTTAGACCTCGGCCTCACTTTCGATTACGGGATGCACAGACCGAGGCGACCGATGACAGGAGCCCGGCACGAAATCTTCAAGCATCCTACAATCTCCCGCAATCGCCAAATAATACATGATGCTTCTCCTGTGCCAACTCAGACTTGGATGCAATTTTTCCATTCGCTTTCGTCTACAACTCTGTACAATACAGCAGTGATATGGGTCATGCTAATCCGTTTCACAGTTTGCCTCCTAGGCGCAGCTTTTCTGGATGTTGACTGGGAGGCGAGAGGAACCGATATATTCGATTCTACAGCATTGAAGTGCATCGATTTGGTCCTCGGTACATTTTCACTTGTTCTGCTGCTGTTCTCAGTTGTTTCTGAACTGGCCTCTGAGAGGCGACTGTTTATCGAAGACGTAATGCTACTGATACCCCTTTCGGCACTTCCAGTCGTTTTGCATACTTTGGCTTTCCTCGGCAAGGGCAAGGACATTGGCTATTTTGCCCAAAACTACTTTTACATTGGATGGCCTCTACTCCTTGTGCTCACTATCTTTCGTTACTTTCGGGTTCTTGGGCGGCGGGCTCTTCTCGCTGATACAGTGAAGCGGAATCACCAAACCACGAGATCAATTGACTTCATATGGACAACTAAAACAACTCAGGATGACGAGTGGTTGATGGACGAGCTGTCAAAAAGTGTCGGGAGGTCCAAGTATGTACGACTTCATCGGTACATCGCGGAGGAAGCGCGAAAAGATGTGGAACATGGGGAGAGAAGTCATGACCACCATACAAACATGTTTCAAGAGCGGGCTACCCTCTGCACGGAAACCTTGGGTACTCCGGACTGGCATGAAATCTTTGCGCAGTTCACATCGAGTATGAGGAACGGGACAACGACGGGGATCTTCTTCTGTGGACCCCCCAAAATTGCTGCAGCTGTCAAGGAAGCTGCTATGGAATCTATGCTGGACTCCCGGTACCGAGGACTCTCTAACAGAGCGCAGGTGAAGCAAACTCCTGGACTCCACTCTCAATTCTTTTCACACGATAAGGTAAACTCAGTCACAGATTCCTTGACGCGCTCGTTCAACGTGCGCTATGTCTTCAGAGCGGAGACATTCTGAGACGGGTCCAAGTATAAACAAACCACAAGGGAGTTTTGAACCCTTTTCACTTAGAAAAAAGTGGATAGCTCAGTGGCCATGGAAGACCCAAATTCTCGGCCGCCTACAAGCCTGTACATTGTCGGCAGGAAAACATGCGAGCAGCAAGTGGTATACTACGTAGGGGTAAGCAAAGCAGCCAGACGTTGTCGCGGACCGCTTGAAAGCGTGTCAGGGCCCGACCTGAGGCGCGGTACCTCCAAATGATCGTCATGGACCAGAGCAAATCACACACAAAGCAAGGCAATAAATACTGTAAGCACGGGGCAGCCCCATGACCCCAGCAGGGTGCCGCACCAGCCCACTGCTCCCGCCTCCTCTTCCCGCTGCAACCCTCTACACCTCCTCCACGTTGAGCGTAACGGAAGGCACAAACCCGGCCTCCTGCAGCGACACCTGCTCCGCGCCCTCAAAAACTCTTCTCGGAAATGACGCGACGAGGCGAAACGCGTCCTTCCTGCCGCCCTCCGCGACGACCCAATTGGCGACATCCGCGACGACCCTCTCCGCGTCGAACGCCCTCTGCACGCGCCTGCCGTCCGGCAGTCTGAGCACGACGCGCACGCCGCCGCGCTCGGGCTCGCGCACAAGGCTAGCCACGGCCTCCTTCCGCGCGTGCTCCTGCTCTGCGCGCTCCCGGTCCGCCTGGGCCTCAAGTGCGTGGCGCTGGGCCTCGGCGGCAGCCTCGGCGGCCTCGCGCTGGCGGTCAGCGCGCAGCGAGGCTTGCAGCGCGTGGTCTTGGTCGCGGACGACAGCGTCCCTCCCTTCCCCCGCAGC